TCTGAAATTTACTCCCAAGCTCAAGAAAAGCTCTCAAGTTGAGGTCAAAATGGAGGGGATATCCCACGCTACCCTGCGAGTCCACCTCTACATCAAGACAAACAAACTCTCCATGCAAAGATAGGGAGCAAATACATTGACAGGGCTGCCACTTTATTTGGAGACGCGAAAACTGAAAGCACGACAACCATGCTAATGTATTTGCTCCTTATCTTTGCATGGAGAGTTTGTCTTGATGTAGAGGTGGACTCTCAGGGTAAGGTGGGATATACCCTCCATTTTGGCTTCAACTTGAGAGCTTTTTTTGAGCTTGGGAGTTGATTTCAGAGAAAACCAATGGCACCATCGTGTTTCTCGCGAACTTTTACGTAAGAATTAGTAGTCAAATCGCAAATCCCTCACACATGCAAGATCTCCTTTCTTCTGCTACCTAAGTACAGTCAATTTACTGCAGCTATTTAATTTTATCGTCGGGCTGGACTTATTTACGATATTTTCCTTAAACTATGATTTTAATAAACAGTTGAAAATTAAGATTAGTCAAATTGACGTTCGTATGCACAGAAAAACCGAAGTAGCGTAATCTTCAGAATCCGTTTGACAACACCGTTCCCAACGGAGTCGTTTGATGCCCCCATCAATTCTAACATGGTATGTTCTGTTTCCCCTCTGAGCTTCCCGGGAAATTACTCCCTTTTTCCTGACTCGTTATTAGTTCTCATTTAAACTATCGTTCGAACTCGATGGTGATCAGCCGACGAGGCATAACATCGATCCATTTATGAGACACCGCGTAAAAAGGCATCAAAGAATTGATTGTCATTCGACTGCTTGCAAAAAAAAATCCTAAAAATGGGGAAAAAAAGAGAAAAAAAGTAGGGCCCAGTTTAAAATGGTAATGGAGGAGAAACTAAAGCCGGACCTACTTACTTTGTCGAGATCGTGAGGAAATTCAGTTTCCAATTTAATAGCTCAATTTTCACAATTTCGGTCCGAATTTTTCTCGCAAGTAGAGCAACCGCAGGATGGCCCCAAAAATTTCCCTCGCGGCGAACATTCAGCTGTTATTTTCTTTTGAATCAGATTTTTTCGAAGCGAATTCACCCAAAAATCCTCATCGAATCAAAATTCAGTTTATTGTCAAAAATATCATACTACTACCGTGCTACCCTAAAAACATAACGATGGCTAACGGACAGTACCGCCTATATGCAAATTGACGATATAGCAGAATGAAGAGAAAACTTCGCCATTTTTGTCATTTTAAGGTTAGATTTGCAATTATTTCATGCATTCTAGCGTCATTGCAGCGCTCTCCTACAGGATAAGAAAACAACTAAAATCATCATCTTGCGTATACAAACGAATGCGGCAAAGTCGCTAACCCATTTTTGCTTAAATTTTGAGTTAGGCGGTTTTGTGCCTTATGGGACGATTATTGAAACTGATAGGCAAAACGATAGACAAAGAAGACATAAGGAGTATAGAGCGATCCTATTGGTTGACATGGTTGGTTCTTATAGACTAAGGAAGAAAATGATGGACAGACTGTCGGGTCTTTGGTGGGTCGCCGTTAGTTAGTCCATTACCTACCTCCTATATCCATTGCCACCATCCGCTTCCACCAATAGGATCTTTCCAAATCCCTTTTGTCGTCTTTGTCTATAGCTTTGTCTATCAGTTTCAATAATCAGCCTGTAGTATAGGATTCGATAATCGGAGGAATCGGATCAGAATCCAAAGCACAAAAGAAACACATTAACCTAGTTGGTCCAAGATCATTCAAGTCACCGAGCAAAACTTCTGCAGCGTGTCTATTGTCGAACCGTTCATCGGTTGAACTCGATCCACGAATACATGCCTCAGTAGATACATAAATCGATTGAAATCATTCGATAGCAATCCGACAATCGATCGACTAGCACGATCCCACTCACAAAAGCCCCGGAAAATGCAATCAGTTCCCGCACGCTCGCCCTCCCGTAATCGGGAAATGAAACATCATTGAATAATAAGTCCAGTGGCGTGGCGTGAATGATCGATTATCGATATCTCGCCGTTTGAAGCTATGGTAAAGAATCGATTTTTAAGGTGTTCGCTGCGAACGCCCTGATAATCGATTTTTTTTCATAGGTTTGAGTGGCGTATCAATCGATATATCGCAAATCACGCCACGCCGCTGAATAAGTCATGGAACATGGAACGAAGGTGAACCCCTCCGAGAGATCTATCGAAAGTATTGGACTCCGAAAGACACGTTCAAAAGTATTATCTCCATTGCTCACGTTTTATATTAGCACCAGCATTGCATCATTCGCGCATTTGAATCGGTCGATGCTGAATCCTTATCACCTACTTTGAAGCATGAATAATGTTTCAGCATCGGCTTGAAATGGACTTTGTTAGTTTATTCTCTCGTAAACTCTAAGGTTCATAAGAATCCTCGTATGCTGAGGTTTATCGAATATTGTTTTAACATTGACTTATTCATTTTCACTCTCTGTCTTCCCCCAACACCTCCCACAAAATGGAGAGGTTATGTTTACACATATGCATAATAATATAGATTTGAGCGCGAGGAACGTGTTGATATCATGGAATTAACTACGCGCCATCCCCGCCAGAACGCTTCTGACTAACAAGGGCTGGTACAGGGTGTCCCAGGATTAAGTACGAATCTTGATGGAGTCGATTCTTTGGGTCGACGTTCTTGAAGACGTTTTCGCGGTATAACTTTTTTTTTCCAAAAGCGCTTTGCATGGGGGCCCCGTTATCCCCCTATTATCCCCTATTAGTCCCTATTATCTTGAAAACGATGAGTCATAGCGAAAAAACTCAAGGGCTATTTTCTTCACATTTTCCAACGCTGAATTTAGTGGTTTCGTCAAAAATTAATTTTTGCCGCCGCAGAAACGTTACTTTTGGCCACTTTAAGGTTCGATAACCCCCTAAACCACCCTGAAATGAGTTTTTCCTTTTTTGGAGGTGAAAAATGAAAAGAGAACTAAAAATTTCCCTCAGTTGCTAATTTTTATTAATATTGGTTAATTAAAATTGGCACAATGTTAAAGAAATGATTTTTTTCTTCAACTTTGGGGGGGGGGGGGGGTCGTGGCCCCCAGAGAAAACGTTTTTGGAAAAAAAAAGTTATACCACGAAAACGTATTTTTTTGACCCGAATATTCGTACTTAATCCTAAGACACCCTAGACACCCCGTACTTACGGCTCCTGGAGCCAAAGTTTTTTCTCAGTTCAGTTCGGCCGGACTAAATCGAATGTTGGGTTTGCCGAAACTCTCATTTGTATTTCAAATGCAGCTTCTTTACATTGAACAGTTCCTTCTGCAAGCTGATTCCCCCCCCCCCCCCCCCCNNNGAAGCAAAAAAACTGAACAAGGGACACAGGCAAGTGCGTTTACAGGATTACTAGAGTAAAATTTACTTTGGAAAAAGTTGCTCTGACGTAAAGCTTTGCCACGTGCTTTTACGGCTTGACTTTCTCATTATTCTATCGTCCTTAAATACAAAGGGAAGATCAGGCCAATGTAACTTACGGCGTAAAAGTCTTTGGATAGTTTATATGAAGTTTTCCTCTCAAGAGAGGAGGGGAAACAACAATATAATTTTAGAATAGCTATCCACCAATAGATATTTTCGGTCCCGGTGCTTTTGAGCGTATCTTCTGACCTCCATGGATTTTCGAGAGCTTATTTTATGCGAAAGTCAAATAACTTTAACAGATCCCATCACACCAAAATCGTCCGCCGATCCTCAAAGTTTTTGGATGGAGATGTTTTACAATCAGAAACTTAAGGATTCATTCAAATCATTTTTCAGATTCACTTGTAAAAATACTCACCAAAAATTTTCCATTTACCCTGTGAGCCATGCACACACGCACTAATCAAAAGCCATAGGTTCAATGAATTCCAAAAAAAAAAAAAAAAAATCTATTTAAGATCGACATACATATTTTCAAGAGTGCTCCTTTTAAAACCACTTTAAAACTATTTAAGAGGTCAAATATTTGTTGTTGGAAAAAATTGGAAGGAAGAATCATTATTTATAACATAAAATCCTGAAAGCAACCAACCACTGAATGAATCTGATGGGAATTATAAGTCGCAAATCCACACCTCACAGAGGAGCGTAAGTTTATTGATGGTCTCAAAGATTGTGAAAACTAGACGTTGATTTACAAAATTAAGCTGAAAAGAATTTAATTTTCAAAATTTTTAGTAACATTTAGAACATTAATTTTCAATCCCTTCACTTTCACCTTGTGTTCACGTGGATTGTTTTTTTTTTTTTCATTTTTTTTTCTTTTTTTTGGGAGGAAAAATAAATCAAGTTTCTTGTACTGGGAGACTCAAGTGTGAATTACGAATTTGTTTGGAAAATGTAGGTATTTCTGAATGATAACGTAGGAAGTGTTCGGCTACTCATTATAATAGAAAAACCTTGCGAATATTTTCAAAGGTAATTAAACGTTCAATTTTAAAACTCTGATTGAACGTGACTGTACTTCCTCCAAGAGTAAATAACATGGGGGTATTCTTTAACCCTAAAAATCCACGATCTTTGATCCTGATGAAGTTCAAAATTTCATTATTTCGTGAAAAAGAGAAATGTTTCGGTAAGATTAATGCATATTTAAAGAAAAGCCCTATTCATCTTCTGACTTTTTATGAGTGTAGTTTACACTGAGTCACGGCAACCATTTTTAGAAATTAAATACATTTTCAGTCTGTAATGCACGATACCTATAGAAGAGTCTGAAAAATGAAAATAAAAAATAAATCACGGTTTGAAATATAATATACTGTATCAAATTCACAAACATATCAATGGTGTGAGAGTAATTGATCAGAATTAGTTTTAATATGGGAATTTCGCTGAAACTATTTCAAAAATGAGAAGAAAAAATTAAGACGAACAGAAGAAAAAAGGGAAATTGGAAGCGTACATAAGTAAGGAAACAAAGATGAGGTCTTTCTTACCTAATGAAAGTTTTTCCCCTGAATCCGGAGGTAAAGTAAACCCAAGCACAGCCATTGATGCGATGAGTACACATGGAACAATTAGATTGAAAAAATAGTATAATGTTCTTCTCCTAATGATAATCACAAATGTTATATCGATGTAAGGCTCGGGACAGCAATTATAATATATAACATTTTTCTTGCCGGGAACCCCTGAAACAAAAACAAAACAAAGATGCATTTAATCATACACAGAGAGAAATTTCAACACTTGAGTCTGGTTAAAACGGGAAGCAAAACACGATTTAACCTTAGCCTTCGGTTGACAATTTCAAGAGAAAATGCCAGCTAGTTTTCTAGGAGAAATTTAATAAAAAACGAGTGGTGAACACCAACGTCACAATCGGAGGAATGCATTTCCCCAGTCTCTCCATTGTTTTCTGCGCTAAAATACGCCGCAAACAGTACCAAAATTAACACAAAATTTGTGTTAGTCTGTGCTTCACTTCCTATGCTAACCAAAAGTAACAGAATAACACAAATATTTTTATCAGTGTACTGGCCTTCAGCCTCTCTCTTCAACAACTGTAAGTTCAGACTTCCAATAGGGCGTATCTAATGAGCCGGTAAACTTGGACCGAGCTTTAGAAGTAAACTTCACGTTTGATTTATGAACGAATCCTTACTAGGAGGTAAAAATTGTCCAAACCACAAGACTGACAAGAGTAATGGTGCCATTTCTCCCCAATTTATTGAAAATTGGTAAATTTACGAGCCAGAGAGGCTGCTCAAACAAGCTTTGGATTGGGTACCACCTGAGAAAAAGCGCCGGGGCGGGGAATTCCCATAAAGGAATGACAGCAGGGCGTTGACAATAAGATGTTGCGTTAATTGCTGTCAATGGACGGTGGTACCTACCTGTAGTAACGCGTGGTACAACAGTGGTAACTCGCACCTTGTCTAGTGGACAAGGTACGAGTCAAAGGATTCTGATACATGTTTCTTGACCAGAACTTCACATAGAACACGACTCGCGCAACGAAAATTGCTGAAACCAACTTTAAACGAAGATATTAACGTTTTGCCGATAAATCCGTTTATTTCCGTTTATACCGAGGCAATTGTTGAAAAATTTACAAAGTCATCGTAAGGAGTATCGTAACTTACGGGAGTGAGGTCTGGCAACTCAAGAAAAGAACTGGAGACATGCTTAGGGCAACCGAGATGGACTTTTGGCGAAGGTCTGCTGGGATATCGAGAAAAGAGCGTATCCGCAATGAGAAGGTACGCGAGACAATGGGTGTGGAGAAGGACATCTCGCACGATATCAGGTCAAAGCAGTTGGTCTGGTATGGACATGTGCGAAGGATGGCAGACGATCGGTTGCCCAAGCAGGTCTTCGATTGGGTTCCTCCCGGAAGGCGACGGCGTGGACGTCCTGTGAAAGGTTGGCGCCAAGGGGTGGAGGAGGAGATCAGAAGGTGCCAATTGCCTGATGATCTCTGGGAGGATAGGGGGCAATGTCGATTGGGCGTCGCAGAGCGCGAGGCGGCGCGATAAAAGCGGCTTTATGTATGTATTAACGTTTTTATTTCACATTGGTCACGAGGAGTTTGAACTGCCCGCTCACAAGAAACTCAAAGCTCTACGTGGGTCCAATTGCGCTCTACAACGGTTTCGGCGATCTTCTCTATCGAGCAATGTTCATTTCCCACCATGTGTTGTTCAAACTACAAGCAATTTGCTATAGCTGAGCCAAAGCGTCAAGATTGAGGTTGCCAGATTTTTATATCGCAGAGACCGTCATGATAAACGTGTAGCGCGCGCTGTGAATCACGTAGAGCATTGAGTTTTCATGAGCGGGTGGTTTGAATTCACTCATCAAGAATCCTTAAATATCTTCGTAAGGAGTTGATCTCGATAATTTTCGTTGTACGTATCGTGTTCTACGTGAAATTTTGGTTAAGAAACATGTATCAGAATGCTGAAATTCGTACCTTGTCTAGTGGTCCATTGCCCGATAACCTCTGGGAAGATAGACACATGTGGCGCTTGGGTGTCGCAGAACGCCAAAGCGCAACTTAGAAGCGACTTTTATGTGTAAATGTACCAAACTTTTATGGCTACTTTTACAACGTGTTCGCGAGCTTTGGTCCGAGATTCATTTATGTCAGCATTTTCGAGAGTAATCAAGTAAGACACCTCTCCGGTAGGTCAGGTTAGGTTTAGGTTAAGTTGGGTTAAGTTAGGTTATGCCAAAACTTGAAGATAAGATCCCAAGTTAATTGGACTGAATCAAGCAAAAAGAAACGACTTCTGGTTTATTCCAGGAACAATAAATACTCGATACTGCCTTGTACAAAAAGGTGATTCTATACGCATTAGATAGAAATAATGGTTCTCTATTGCGTAAGTGATTCGATTGCGGGTAGAACTAACAGTACACTAACTAGTAACACCAAGTAGAGCGTATTTAGCTACAGATAGGATCTTACTAACAGGATTGGTAACATACAGTATTATAGTAGATAGATACCTCGAAACAACTTTCTCTGTGGATACATCATACGTGATTGTTTTCAAAAAGAAGGGCATGCTGGAATCAACTAAAAGGGCGAGACCCAGGTTTTCTGGCGCAGCAATTTTATCGACAAAGGCGGATCCAGCAATTTAGCAACACCAGATTTCCTCCATTTGAACCTATATAAAATAATCGATTCTTGTCGGAACACCTGGCCCCTTCAAGAATCGATACATTTCAATGAGTTTAAATTGGGGGAAAAAATGTTGCCAATTTGCTAATGTTTATCGACTAATTAATCAATAGTTATAAGTACACAGTTTCCCCAACACTTTCCGTAAAGTATCTTAACATTGTAGATTTTAGTACCATGATTGGAAAAAAATGGTTTGGAAGATCATTGGAAAGTAGCAGACATAAAATATGTAACGTCTGTTACCGCGTACATGCTAAACATAAAACGTTAACTACATAATGCGTGTCACAAAATGTTGGTCACAAAGTCACACAATTTTGGACAGAATACAAGACAAAAGGGCTCTTTTTTCATAAGCCTCCTAAAGTATTCAGAACTTCTGTTCATGGTCAATTTCCGGGTCAAGTGGTTGAAGTTGCATTTTGGCGCGTATACGTAGTATACCGCCTTTGCGATCGTTTCGAACCCTGCTCGATACAATAACCGAGTCCCTTAGTTCCTTACCGAAAAGTGACTACCGCGAACTTCTGAGATTTTCCAAAGCGTGTAAAAAGTTTATTTATCCGTCAATAATTATGATTTAAAGTTGTTTCTCATTCGGGGGCCCTCTAGTTTATGTGCAGTGAATACCAAGAGTCTACGTTACTTGGTTTTTTTAAAAAAAAGCCTAAGAATGCGACGCGCTGATTTAAAATATGCATATACAAGCGGAAGCAAGCGAACTGATTCGAGGATGGCTGACCAGTTCGGCACTCCTTGAATGAGAATTTCACTCACTCTGTTTTGTTCAAAACGTTGCTTTGACAGATCTCCATACCCCTGCTATGCTTTTCAAAAGTTGGTACCCCTTGCTCTGATAGCCTGGGCCAGCCAAGATACCCGTAAGTGCAATCTGTGATAAGCCTCGAGACTCATTAGACCATGTGCTAACCGTGGCCCATACAGAAATTCACTCCCCTAGCAGGCCAAAACAGTGCACAGGCAGGCAGAAACCCAGGTAGTGTCCCGATCGTGGCTCGGTTCGCCGCGTGGCCTCCCAGCTGAAGAACAATAAGGCGACCCTCGCGGCCCTCGCCACAGTCAAGACTTAATTACTTTCACTCGATTACCCATTTCACCGTCACGCTGGAATCCAGCAAATTTTCGAAAAAATTGTTTCGCGAGTACCTGGCAATTTTTACCTTACTCTCCGTTCAAAGACGAATTGAAAGAGGTCTCATTCATAAAAATCGGCCGAATAGAAGAGAAGTTACAGTAGTCGAAATCCGAAGAAATCAACAAAACTTCTCCATACAGAAAATAAAATAAAGGGGGAAAAAAGAAATGTATAAATTACAATTAGATATAATTGACCTCAGAATTTGACAAGCAATTCAATTATATACCTAACGGAGAAAAAACTGGGAGGAATTACAAAAAATTCGCCTCTTGCAAGGGGCTTCTTTGTAAGAATTTTGACCTGAAGACAAGGGTCGAATAACAGCAGTACTCCATACACGGTGTGCCTGAACGAGTTAAACATCTTTTATACGTCCAAATCGAAAAATCTTTATATTTTTGACTACAGTGTCTCTTGAATCGTTTAAGCCAAAAAAAAAAAAAAAAAAAAAAAAAAAAAAAAAAAAAAAAAAAAAAAAAAAAAAAAAAAAAAAAAAA